ATATTTATATTACAGGTAAAATGTAATTAGAATATATTAAACATCGTTGACGTAAATAACGACTATTAGATATCATTTCACTAATAATTCTATGATATAAATAATTTAATCATAGAATAATAATTTGATAATATAAAAATAATTTGATGATATAAAAATCTGTCCCTACATACGCAATTGTTAATAAATTAAAAAATTGTTATTCAGATTATTGCCACGAAAAGATAATTTAAATCAATATTCAAGTCGAAGTAACAATTTTCTAACAAGCAGCCCAATAAATTTTTGTATTTTTTTTTACTTTAGGAAAAGTCTAAAGAAAAAAAGATAATAATTATACCCATGTAACCATTATAACCATGTAAAGTCTCTGCAATAAATTGTAATTGCGTATGAATTCGCGGGGATGGATTTGGCATATCCTGCCGTGATACGCCCATTTCATTTATTTCCAGAATACGATTGTATACAGTCGATGCCGTGACCCATTTAAATCTTCAAATCACATAAATTTTGTCGAACTTTCATTGTTGTATATTTCAGATTATTATACTTTCTTGTCAACCATTTTGTTACACGGTCGAGACATAAAAAGTGACATTATAAATAAAGGTGGCAGCTACAAAATGTGACACTTTCACCAACTTTTAGAAATTCTATAGAAATGACGAATAAATTATATTTGTAGTATCGTGCTAATAGGCAAATAATCGTTTTCCTAAAGTTTATATAGTGTCGAAAAATGTCAAAAACATTGATATTATACGTTAAATAAAATTATATTGTTTATTTTTAATTAAAATTATGTCTAATGTTTAATTAAAAAGACGTCCACATTTAGGGATTCATCCGTAGATGTTCTAAGTTAATATTTAAAAGCATAATCGTTCACTGAAACATAATTGAGTTTTTAGCAAAACAAAACAACAATTGACATTATACATTCATTAAAAAAAAAAAAAAAAAAAAAAAAACTGCTTTGTGTAATAAATAGTAAACAACATTTTACTACGCTAGAATACTAATTTTTTTTTTTTTTTTTTTTTTTTTTTTTTCATTAGGATAGATGAATATGCTTGAATATTACTTCTTACTTGGTTCATAGTTTATTCCGTTTAATTAATTTTGAATGGTACATTTATTTTAGATTGAAATACCGAGAGTAATCCTTTCACATAAAAAAAAAACAATACACAATTACCTTATGAATAATATAGATAATAACATCTTTTTTTTTAATATTTATTGTTAATTAAGTTAATTTTTCAATTAAGTGTGTAAAATAGTAGACAATGATTTTAAAGAATCAATATAATATATTAATTATTTGGATACATTAAATGTATCATAAAATATCATGCATAATCTTTCCTCGTTTTTGTTGAATGAAATGATACTTTAACGAGTTTTGCTAAATAATGCGAAAAACATTTGAAGTACAAATTTTGTTCAAATTCTTAATAATGTTTATTATTTTTTTAGCTAAACGTAAGTTTTTAATTTAATTTAACATTCGTATATACATTCATTAATATGTACATTGATATTACAAATTTGATGATTGAATTTTGAATTTCATAACTTATAAGGATCTTATCCTTCAATCGTAACATTTTATAGTGAAAATTTTGCCATAATATCTGCTTCTTTTAATAAGAGGAAACTTGAAGATCTAAAGATACCGTTAGATTTTAATAGAATGGCACACTTTTCTAAAAGTAGATTATATGATATCAAATAAGTTTATTCTCGATTATACATATCCAATTGTCCATGATTAAATAAAAATAATTATCGATTTGATATTACGGCAAAAAATGTTTTTAATCTATGCATGCGTGAAAAAACAAGGTAGTGCGTTTAATGTAAAACAGCGTACTTACCATACAATTAAATTTTTATTACAACACAAACTCCGACTGCAACAATCGAGTTTGAATGGACTCGAATTTTTAATAAAAGAATACAAAGGAATAGTAATAGGAATAGGTAGAGCTATTGGTACGGAAGAGGCTTGTCTCGATGAGAGTACAAAGTCGAATGGATTCGTAGATTACGGTGTTGTTTCTTGCAAATACTTCGGTCACACGTATGTCACACGGTTTAGCTGATTGGTTGTCCCCGACTGACCCTCACTTTTATTATTAAACTTCACCGACAATGTTTCTATTCCTAATACCCCACCTACAGCTTAATCATTTATTTCCTGATTCCTTTATTATCGAAAGATTCATTTATAGTAGATTGTTGATTATATGAAACTGGCATGTACTCCACACAATGATGATTATTAATAAATGGAATTATAGGTATTTTAGAGAAGAATGCAAATTATTTGACAAAGAATGTTACAGTAATATCAGGCTCTGTATGTGTAAATATAAGAGAGACCTTTAAATATAAATAAGTTAAATAGCATTTTAATTTTTATCCTACAATCGAATGTTATTCCATCCTTCAGCTAACGAAATGTCTATTCTCACATTAATATGATATTATAAACTTTGAATGTCGATAAACAATGAATACATTTATTTACACGAATTATAAATAATTTACTGCTTTTAATATGTGTCATTAAATAATGACAAATTGATTTTTTATTGTATTTCGAGGCATGATTAATCTATATGTAAACTGTAATCGTAATGATACATTCAATGATTATCAATGAAACAAAAAATCAATAAAAAAATCGATGGTATATATGTTAATTATCTTTCTATAAATATTAATGCTTCTTATATTTTATTAAAAAATTGTATTTGTTATCTTATTCATTTACATAGATTTCATTAATATGTATTTCTTTAATAGTTCATTTGCCAATAACAAATACAATGGTTTGAGAAATATAACTGTAATTTGAATCAAGATCAGGAGAAATTTTACAAATTTAACGAAATAAAATCTATTACTTTCATAATAGTATATATTTTAATAATAATGAAATATTAGTGCATTAGAAAATATACGTATTCAAATTTTATTCGATGTAATTTTATGATAAATGATTCACAATTTTTTGTAGTTAAAAATATTGTTTTTTAGCATAAACTGTGTAACATTCAATATGAAACTAAATTCTGTGTATATACACTGTAAACTATATCGTTAGACACGGAGTTTCACTTTTTGACGAGAAAATTTTATACTATGAAAGGTATAATTTCCAATAGGTATATCATTTATAGGTAAATATAAAAAAATATTTTTTGTGCTTCATTATTATATACTTTTTATTATACTTTTATAGACCATTAGATGTACTATTTACAACTCAAGCCTTCGCAACATCAAATCACAGTGATTAAACTACCTTGCAATATTCACAATTATTTACAAATAAGGAAGTGATTATCGATGAAGAAAATTTCATAATATTTATCATTAACAATGTATTATGCGACTTAAAATCGACTATTGAGTGTAGTGACATAAGAGATGATTTAACTTATCAATGCAGTTCATTCATTTCTTAATAAACAAAAAATGTTTATTTGAATACTAATAAATTTAATATAATGTAGCTAAATTTGAAATATGAAAAAGAAAATTTTCAATTTATTATTTTATGCTGATACTATTATTATTTATTTTCTATTATAATTATTTCATCCTCATTAAGCAAATAATATATTAATTATTATTTTACTAAAGTTTAAAATGATTAAAATAAAATACTAAAACACCTCTTAACTCATTACAGATTTGACGAAAAATGTGATCGTTTCTTTGTAAGATGAATTAATTGTTAACAATAAACGCTCAACAGTTTTAGACAGAAAATTTTAATTTTATACATAAATTCATATTATTTATATTTATATATATATATATATATATAGTAGTACAGTGGTAAAAGTAGAATAGAGTGAGTAGAATAGAAATAATCTTTCAAATTCGAGTAAATTTGAAATTTAATTATTTTATTCTGTATTAAAAAAAAAATTTTTTTTGAACAATAATTCAGGATAAATCGTGCCGATTAATGTAAAGCTAAAGATTATATATTATCTAAAAGAAATTTAGAAAGCCTTCAGGCTCTTTATTATCTTACAACCTTTTTGTATAGTAAAAAAATAATCCATCTGTCAGAATTTTATAATTTATCATTCATGCTTACCTAAACCCTATATGTGTTCGCGTAAAATGTAATTGCTTTTTTATATATTTCCAATCGCAATATACGCTCACACAAAACGTAATTACGTAGCATTTTTCATACGATTTTTAACCATACATGTCTTCACACAAATATAGCATTATGTTTTATTACATAAAAGTCATAGCAAGTACATTTAATGTATGCCGCTATATGTCCATTTTGCATAATATAATTATTTTGAATAATAAGTAATAGCTTTAATGATAACGAGAAAAAAGAATCGTACATAGTATTGGTTTTATTAGTTTATACATGTTTATAAAATAAAAATAATGCCTATAACGTGTTTTATTGTTTCGAAAACTATTTTTAATATATTAATAAATTAATTGCTCATTAATTTTTAAAGATAAATTAAATTTATAATCATAAAGTAGTAATTAGTGTTTATAGAGTTTACAGTATATAAAATGTGCTATATGCATTTATTTATTAATGGTAATTATACTTTTATCAAATTATTGATTTTACTTTTTGATTTTGTTCAGTTTGCCGTCAAAAGATTAGCTATAAAATAAAGAAATAGTAAATTATCTTAGAAATAACATAATCCTCCAATTATCAGCAAAAACTACTATCATTGTATTCATCAAACTCAAAAATTAAATGAAAAAATTGCTAAATTGTAGATAGTAATTTATGTAAGTTCTTCTTCTTCTTAATCTTACAATTTATATACATAGGTCTTTGAGCTTCCTAATTTCATTTTGAACGTACATACGTGAAATACATTAAGTGTTTGAGGAATATTAAATATTCACTGTTTTCATTTTGAATAAAAGTTATTGGAATTTAAAAAAAAACAACAAGATTTAATAAGTTCGTTACTCACAGGAGTGTGACAAAAATTGAAAATCCTTAGTGCCATTGGCTTCGAAAATATGGTCAATCATTGTCATTATGGATGGTTTCTTATAGGAACCGAAATGCTTGCCGTCATTACAGTTAAAGATTAACGAATATATGTTGCATATAAAAGAATTAGCGAAGTCAGTCGAAAGCTCTATCGAAGGGCAAAGTCAAACCTTCAATTACCGCTCGAGAATTACGTGCAACTCACTTGAAAGTCTTTATGTCTTTGTTATATGCAACGAAATAGGCACTTACCTCGATTATTCGTCAGACGCGTAGATCCACTTCCGATGTCCTCGGTTGTTGAGTCACATGTCGGGATCGGTGGTGCACGAGGTGCCGGGGCACGTCCACATTGGCACGCGGATAAGGCGAGAGTGACTGACGATGTTAGTGGCTTCCACTCGGACCCGGTCCCCAGCGATCAACCCCAAACTCTTGGAGTCAAGACGGCCGACTCTCGGTGGAAGGAGGCGAGGATGGCAATGTACTTACTTAACGTTAGTTCTTGTTGTCACAGCGAGCATCGCTGGGACAAAACAGACTTCCCAGTGGTTATAAAATCGTTAGGTCGCCGACGAATCGTTGTCGTGGAGTGTGAACAACTTTGTTTTTCATTCGGATAGAGCGAATCGATTGGATCAAGCACCTCTATTATCTACTTTTATGACTGTCTTTTATTGCTTTTCGTGCGAATAAATTTTTTTGAACAGACGAAGGTCCGTGCTCGTCGAATTTCCGAGAATTATTTTAAGCCGATGTTTCACTGGATTTATCGGTTAATTTGAATTCAAAATCAATCGTAATCAGCCGCTATCATTTTAAAAACCGCATTTCCCGTTACGTAACCGATCGATATATTAATTTTAAAGACTTGATTTTACATTTACGGATTTCCCAACTGATCTGCTTCATTCAATACAAATGTATGCCTATTACGTAATCGTAATATTATCAGAAGATTTATAATCGACTCGAACAATGCTTGATAAATAAATTTTATGTATTTCTGTAGAGAATAAAATAAGTTCAGAGACATTGTTCGTACAATATAGGGAATGAAAATTATTAACTAATTATTACATATCAATCGAGAACAATATAATTTTCCATAATTTACATTTGCATAAATTACGAAAATTCAACTTCAACTCTCTTTTTTCGCATTACATTTAATTTAGCATAATTGTAATTTTAATCGACATAAGTTTATACGTTGTTACTGTCTTGCCTGCCGTTTATTTAAAATTTTGTAAATATTTCGAAATATTGATCTCAAAAGTATACGTCGTTTATATGAGCAACATTTGTTTAAGAAAATCTGCCTAATGAGGATATATTTCTCAAAAACCAGCTGGCATTGTTTAACTAATAATTATTTATTAGAGAGGAACAGAATAATCTTTATTTAGTTTTTTAAATTATATAATTACACTTCTCATACGCCCGTTTTCTATTCCATATATTTTGTATATTTATATACCTTCGTTAAGATGCGTTTGTAATGAAAATAAAGGCATATCATAAGTTTCGTTTCTGTATTTCATTCGTATGTATTTCATTCGTATGTATTTAATTCTTATAATAATAATAATAATAATAATAATAATAACAACAACAACAATAATAATAATAATAACAACAACAGCAACAATAATAATAATAACAACAACAACAACAATAATAATAATAATAATATTTTATTTAACTTAATATCTACATTATTACACTTTTATATGTAAATTTATTTGAAGTATTTTTTATGTCAATTAAGGAACGGTACATTAGAGTATTTTTTTTAGTTTTCTTTGCTTTTAAAAATTTATGAAAACTCTATGACAATGTCTTATAAATTAACTATAAAATTTTCTTACAATTTTATATTTATTACATAGTTTGAATATTTAGAAAATTTTACTTTTTCAAAAATTTTAGAAAAGCGCATACTTACTAAATACACCAACAGTATATAATAAATGCTGTTATCTGTTTATCTTATGTATGTTTAATTATTTAATTTCTTACCTACACACACACACACACACATATATATATATATATATATATATATATACCGGCTATTAAATACCAACATAAATATAATATATGCATGCGCGGGCGTATGCAATTTAATTGCTATTATACCGAGAAGCAAATATAAATATTTCGCTGTACTAATTATTTGTAGATTTAACATCGCTTCTTGATAATTGACAATTCGGTTCTTATAATTATTTATTAAATAAATGTCACAAGCTTAGATTGCCCCATACGTTGCCTATGTGATGGTCGGTAATAAATAAAAAACCCCAATTGTACTGCTAGAAAGAATTTGATATCAAATTTTCTTCTTTTTTTTTTACCTACGCTAATCCTGTCGATGAAATATAAAATATATTTAGTCTTGTTTTATCGGTCTCATCTCCCTATCGTACAATCATTTAATAAAAAACTTAATTAATTAATTTATTTATATGGAAAAGTTTATTATAAGCTTATTATCCAATTGAAATACAAAAGTAATCATAATCATCTTACGGCTACTTTGAATTAAGAATATTCGTTGGCCTATGGGTAATAACAAGCACAAATTAGATTATCGATAACTTGAGCGATAATTTCATGCAAAGCTTTCTCTTTTATCATTCGCTTATGTTGCATTTATTGTGAATTATAAATCTTTTGTATTATAAAAATTATTATAAAAATATTTGAAAAATCCCACTGAAAGCAATTTGTTAAAAAAGAACTTAGGATAAAAAAGAATTTTAATTTATCTTCAACCTTAAAAGAAACGTTTGCTTAATATTTATGTAAATAAATTTAGAATAACCGATTGTTTATAAAGTGAATTGAACTGTAAATAGCTTGATTATAATATTAATCTTTGTGGCTGGCAAACTCGATGTGATGAAGAAAATTCCCAGGCGCATAATTTTGTCGAGTCTCTTCGCCTGCTAATCCTTGGCCCAAGGAAACTCGAGCTTAGGTCGCATAAAACAATTTAGACGAAAACATCGAATACTAGATTGCAAGATAATTGATGTATTTTCATTTATTTATGCCCTTTAGTTATATTTGAAAAGTGGTGGAATCCGGTAGCAAGTACGTTGCGTGCGTGTGCTAAAGTAGTTAGTAATTATTTATGTTGCAAAAATATTACTCCGTAATTATTATGCCGTTGATTATTTCTCATTAGTTATTCAGATAAATTTGATTAAGAAGCTTTCTTTCCTCAACTATTCAGTATTTGAAAAATGCCGCCTCGGTTTATTTATAGAATGTCATGAAATGTTTTCTTTGATCGCAATCAAATGCAATATTATTAATTGAGTTATATTCACTTGTCGACGTTCGTTAAATAATCCTTTAGTGTAAGGAAAATACTCGCAGCATTTAGATGTAAATAGCTGGCGGGTCTTAATATTTCGAAAGACTCGTACATATTTCTTGTATAAATACAATAGGTTAGTTGTAAAGTGTCGGTGCTCTTATAATTACTCAGCAACTACGGGGGAATACAAGAAAGCGAAGGTCATACGATGAAAAAAAGGGAAAAGAATACAAGCTGAGTGCAGTGAACTCGTGGATGATAATTCAAGTTCAAGGACAAAGCTATGGTTCGTCTAGACATTTTTTATTAACGCGCTTGCTCTCTGTCTGTTGATTTTCGATTGCTCCGCAAATTCCGATGTATATTGCGTAAGCAACTCGTTCCTATTTTTTTTCCTCATCTATCTATTCATCATCGCTTGTTAACCGTTACAGGTGTCACGATGTATTTTATAGGCACGAATTATAATTGATGTAAAATTGGTATATCTACGAAATTTTATGGACTTTAACGGATATTAAAGACCCGTGATTTTTAAATGAATTATAATTTCAGAAAGTTGAAAATACTAATTAATATGATTTAGTTTCAAGTTCTCATTCGAGAGACAACTGATTTATAAAATAATTTTATTATTTTAGTGCAGCAGTTGAATAACGACTTATGGTGAAAGTACTAGCAAATACAGATGATTTCCTATTGGAATATATGGGAAAATAAACTTACCGTAAATATTTAAATATTAGATGCGATCCTCTGGATATGTGAACACCATCGATTATTATGGAGTAAAGATTACATATGTAATGAGATGATAAGAATGAACGTGAACGTAATAAATACCGTGCAATAACAAGAGAGAGAGAGAGAGAGAGAGAGAGAGAGCGTCGATCGATCATTTATGGGTCTACTGCATACCAAAATGGCTCATTGACGATTGCACAAAATGATTACTTATTCGTAATGTCATGAAAATAATGCTGGTGTTTTATGGTAATTAAATCACTGCAACTGTCTCAGATAAGAACATTCAATAAATATTTATAAGAAGCGATTTTAATACGTAAACCAAGAAACTAATAAATCCTTGTTAATTTTATACATGAATTTACAATTTATTACATTATTAACATCATCGATATTGTTTTTAACTATTGCATATATTGATAAAATTAATTGAATATTATTTATTGTACTTAATACATTATATCTGATTTTAAATATTTCAACATAACAGCTGGCGAATTTTAATGAAATACAAGAAAATACCATTGCAAATGCTACAAGTGATGCGCGCATTTATAAATAATTAGCAAAAATCATTTATATATTAATTATAATACGAATATTTTCCACCGCTACATCATTAATAGGAAAGGCTTTTAATTAAGCACTGAGTAGATATTAAAAAATATAAGTTTCAAATCGAACGTTAAACAGTTCTAATTTTATGATAATAAACGCTCTGCCTATACTATTAAAGAAAGAATTTTTTCTTTTCGAGTATTTAGATATTTAATTTCATGGTCCCGATGATAAGGACATCTCGATTTATTTATAAAAGTGTATAACAAAACGAATATTACAATATATACTAGTACGTGACAATAAAGTACGCCCATTGATGGCGGCGAATGATCTTTTGCACATATAAGTTTTTCAACCGAAATCGGTCACCTATATCGAGACGGAAAAGTTTTTGTAACATTCCACGTGGAGAAACTATGCGAATTTTCTCTGGCGTGACGAAACGTCTTGTATTTCGACATTCCAATTTCCCAGCATTTTATACATTATATAAATTCATTGGTTAAATGAAAACTTCATATATTATGAATTACCTATTGCACTCGTAGTCTACTTTTATATGATAAAAATTTTGTTTTCCATTGATAATTGATCAACATTCGTGTGAAATGGAAAAAAGCCACTTCATTTATAACTACTAGGATAATTAAAAAAATTTTAAGTATCGATATAAATCATAACGAATATGAATTATCCAATTTTTTTATTTTGGAAAGCTTACTCTTAAAAAATTGAAAAATTATTGGAATTTAGTAACAATCATGCACCACGTGAACCACATTGCATCACAGGAAAATTAAAATAAATTTAAATTAATTAAATGTTCTTTTTGTTTTATTTTATTTTAATGGATAAACATTATCAGTCTACAATTTTCTCCGTATATCTTTAAGTTTTGTAAAAAAAAAAAAAAAAAAAAAAAAAAAAAACAACAACAACATATTCTCATAACAATCGTTTCATTTATCGTTTACACAAACTATATTGATGTTTAAGATGAAAAAATGGTAGTAATTAGTTAATAGCCTCAATTTACTTAATCGTTTAACAATTTTCTTTAATTAACATCGTTAATATAGTTTTGATAAAATTTATACAAAACGTCCTAGTTGAATATTTTTAATTTAAGAATTTTTAAACGTGTTACATTATTTTTTAATTTAAAAATTAAAAACGATTCTCATTACGCTTGCATTTGTATATTTTAAAATGCGATGAAAACCTTTTCAATTCGACATAAATAATACATAATAGTCTTAATAACAATATCGTTACTCTATAGGCATTACAATTCTAATATGAATTAATCTTTATACGTACAAAAAAAAAAAAGTAGTTAAAAAAAAAAATGCTAGAAACACATGCCGTTAAATTTGTCTTGTTTCTGCGATTCTAATTAAAAAATCTTTTTGCACTCTAAAACTTTTTCGTATCATCGGTACTTTTATTCTTTCTTTTTCACAATAAAAGTCTAAAATATATAAAAATAAATATATACAATATACGAATATGTGTTTAGTCACATTTACATATTATGTATTACATATTATAAACATTATTATGTAGAATAGCGAGTAAATTTATCTTATAGTATTTATCTCATGTTTTACACATACAAATATCCCTTTTAATTTTATTCAAATCACACACTGCTTTCGTTTACATTATCCTTCAAATTAATTAAATGACTTGCGAGATTATGTATTTGTTGACGCCCAATTGACTACATAAACTTAAAATATACTTTATCGCAGGCCGATATATCATGTAAATATTATATAAAACATATTCTTTCTCGGCACAGGAATGAAACTATAATTATCTAGCAATTAAATAAAAACTGAAAAATAAAAAATTGTTTTTACATACCGTTGTTTGAATGAAAATTGCCAATAAAATTGAAACATAGTACCGTGAACTTTTTTTATTGAAGAAGACAATTTCAAAACAACACTCTACCCATTAAGTATTATCTTATTAATACACAATCTTTAAATATTTTAAACTTAAAAATCAATTGAACATAATTTTTATAGACATTATTATCAAATCATTAATAATAATAAATTAATCAACAATTACTGAGTCTATAAAAATTGTAGATTAGTGTACTGAACAGTATTAGATCATTAGAATAGCCACTTTTTCAGTTCATCAAACTAAGGTTTAATTTAGTCCGTTCGCTTTCTCTAATTAATAATGATTACAACATTGATCAGAAACGAATAAATTAATAGAAATTCGATATGTGCCTGCATTATATATTAGTGATTATTAGTGATTTATGATTTTTTCATAATATTAACATACTAAATTATTTAATTATTTCCTACTGTTGCGGTTACTTATATCTAAGTTAGTCTGCATTTAGGACAAAAATCTTAATTTAGAAAATGATATATTTGAATAAAGTACTAAATTAAATATTTGGGGTTATTAAGCGCATATTGAATGTTTAAAATATTTTTACGTTCATTATGAAAATATTTCTTTCTATAAAGCAAATTTTATATAAAATAAATAATGAAAAATGTCTTGTTTTTAATAAAATTACCTATGCGAACTAATCAAGTTTAGCAGAAATGTGGATTTGTAATGAATTGAGCAACAAGTTATGTAAGAAATATTATTCTTTTTTACAATCTAAACAACCAGTTTCGCTACATCGAAATACATCAACTTCTTCAAAGTATACACAATCACACGCGCACGCGCGCGCGTAAATCAGTATTTGACTTTGAATTATTCAACTATTTTTCAATTAAACTCATACAATAACACTTAGATCCTAGAAGATAGATATGCTTATGCACGTACACGGAAATATAAATTATTTTGAAATATTGTCAGACATGAATAAATTTAAAGTTTAAATTTGCTATTTAATAAGCCATGAAAATAAATTTACCAGAACTTCACTATCTAACTTAATTAATAATATAATTAAAGTAAATTCTAATAAAAAAAAAAAAACGTATTTTTAGCCAAATGTACTTATAGCGATAGTACAAGGTGTTTTAGTTATTAATTTTTTAAAAAAAGTGAGCCTCGAAATTATCAATATTCAATTAAATTGAGATAGAAATGAATTTAACAACATGGATTTTTTTCATTATGATGATATATAAAACTTTATATTTCGATTTATAACATACGTAACCTTGAAAATAATTTGATTAATTTAACTTACGACGTAAATTTATATATATATATATATATATATATATACATATAAATATAATATTTATATCTTAATTAATCTATAATTATATTAAAGATCATCATTCAGTCGGCGGCAATAGTTGTATCTTTTTCAAAATTAGTTAAGAAATCTATTATTAATCGCATAGCTTTCCTTGGCAAAAGTCTAAAAAGTTAAACAGAAAAAAAAGAAAACAAAAAGAAAAGAAAACAATATGGTTAATCTTTAATGTAAGATAAGGAGTAAACGTAAGTCAATTACCTATTTATCGCACTTAAATAAACGAGGCATCCAGGAATTGAATACTCTTCATAATTTCTTTGTATAGCGCGTATTATTTTTTTGGCTGTGTATGTTGGAGAAGCAACGCCGGATAAGTAAGGAAATCTGTCCGTGGTAGTAGAAGAATTGGTATAATGAATTGTAAATAAAACTGACATGGGTATAATAATTTAGAGTTTATATTACCTAAATTTAGGATTATAATGAAAATCTGTATCCAAGTACAATGGATAAACTGTTGTGAAATTTATTTTCGAATTTTCCGTTGTTAATCTTAATTCCTCGCATAAGCTTTCCATTAATCCTGTAAATATTATTTATTAATTTAGCAGAAAAAATTTATGAAAAATCAAAATGAGTTAAAATTGTTATTTAGCAATTAAAAAATATTAATAACATTTGCACTTAATAATGAAACATCAATGTAAAATTATCTTTCAATTCGTAGTTTATACAACTTTGAGAATACCATTTTAAATAAATAATTGATATAATATTTTTATAGTAAGAATAATTAATATTAATTTTTTTTCCCATAGTTATATGTCCCATACTTATATGTTAATGAAAAACAAATTTTCATATTTTTCAAAAATAAATAAATAAATAATGTAATATCGTCAAGTAAATAGAAATATGTAAATAAGCGTTAAAGACTTTAAGAAGTAAAAAATAGTTATGTATTATTAAGATAAATAACTATATGTAAGACTATAGGGAAAAAAAAAATGTCAATAAACTTCATTCGATCTAAAATAAAAAAAATTGTTTATTTCACAAGATTTAGAATTAGTAAATTATTTTGTAAATTAGTCGAATTTCGAGAGCAATTTAATTATATAATAATATATATATATATTTTTTTTTATCGAAAATACATTTCAGCTTAACTATTAATAATTGGAATTATTTTTTGGAATTATTAGAAAATTATCTATGTAGCTAACCAGTTTGAAATAAATGAAAAAGTTAATATTAAACATATTTATTTATTTATAAAGTTACAATTGAAAATTTTTAAATTAAAAGTAAGTTCATTTTTGTTATTAAATATTTTAATATGTACAACCCAATTTAAAGAAAATTTTTATTTTTAATATACTATTTTCCATCATATTTACAACTAAAAATAGCATATTATTGTTGATTTAAAAACTAATCAGTACATTAGAAGAATTAAATTAGTATAATAATAATATATTTATTAAACCATTAATATCGATATATTAAAATATCATTCTTTTAAAGTCTTTAACAATTGCTGTAAAGAAAATTCTTACTTTCATGAATGACGTAAAAAAATTATTCAACTATTTATGCTTATACGTTATGATTGCTAATAAGAAGGGACGATGACAAAAATCTGATATTTCTTATTGATTTCAATGCAAACATATTGATTATAGCATATTTATTTTAAACTTTTCAAACTTTTTTAACAATTCAATCCCAAAAAAATTACTACGTTCGGTCATCTATATGTGCGCGCTTGCATTTTGTTTGCTCATGTACATGTGCAGATGCCCGGAAATGGGTGTCGATGTCGATTGGCATTATAGAACTGGACATTATAGGCAATAATAATAATAGTATAAAATAAATCGTAAAACCTCTCACTGCGAACTTAGATGAACAGTAGGCAACGTTGTTTGTTAACCCATTAAACTCGCACATATTGTTTATGGAAACGATGTGACCCTTTTTGTTTCGTAACATCGATGGTAGAAACGCCTGTATTGTCTGCAAAATAAAAGGGAGAACTCGCTTATTGTGATTTCGAATATGATTTTGCAAATTGATTATATAATAATCATAGAATTGTATTGTATTTATTAATTTAATCAATATCGAATCTTCAAGTAAGTATGTTTTTTGCATTCGGATTATCGAGATTAATTCATTATAAAATCAACTTGAAAAAAAAAATGCAAGAAAATTGCGATTATTCATTAAATCAAAATATTTTTACTATATATTTTCTACAGTTTGATTTGAAAATTACTTTTAGATTTTTAACTGATAATGAAAAATATTTAGTTGTACAATCATTTTAGGGAAAAAATTCACTACGTTCATGGAATAAAATTATCGCTAAATCCTTAATTAAGTTATTTATTTAAAAAACAAAAATCGAATGTTATTAAAATGTTTAGTACGTAGTTTCTTCTTCTTCTTCTTTAATAAATCACGTTGAAATATTATTTATAGTTAATTCTAATGAATGTTTTACATTATTGTAAAATATACTTTCTGCACGTATAATATAAAATATCCAGAGATATGCTTCCTCAGCAATGCTTTTTAACTTATTTTATTAAGTCGATAAATTGTTGAAATCATATTATTACTTTAATATGAGAATGAAAAGCACAAAGTGCTAAAGTTTACGTAGTAAATACATTGTGGATATAAAAAATTATATTTAATTGTTATTTGAAAATAAAACGATCACTTTTCGTTAATTCATTTGTATGGATAATATTAATTTATAAAGAAATTTTTACATTAAAATTCTTTAATGATACGTAGAAACAATGAATTATTATGTCCAATGTCGTGCCTGCTTATTTTATTAATAAATTAATTAAAAAAATTGTATTCGTCCTTTAAAATCCTACGGATTATGGTCATTCACGTTCAAATACGGAATCGCATGTGATTGGAAGTCATACAATTCTAGAAGATTTGACCTACCCTAAGAGGTATATTTATCTATCTCTATTTCTGACTTTATACAAATATAAACTAATGCTGTATAGTGTAATCACTCTAAATAACTATTACTGCGAAAACGGAACATGCAGCTCTACATGGTAATTATTGTCCATGCTTAGAAAAGACACGAACGAGTCCATAATCCTAAATGCAAAGGGACATTGCCATTTTGTCACGAGACTCTCATCGGCCACTAATGATGCACGTTAAAGGTTCACTTTACCCAAAATTGCGACAGAACGTTAATTTCGAAGATTTTTTGCACGTCTTCATCCTTATAGTCGAGGAACGGCCCACGAAGCAGAACTCCGGTATTATTGATCAAAATATTCACATCCGGTATGTCGGCCTTCCTCATCAAACGTACTACCTCCCGTACCTCCAGTCGTTTCGACACATCCACTACGAAGCCGTGGACCTTGTATTTAATAAATGAAAAAGGACGCTTATTAATGAATAAAGGACTATCGCGTGTGCTTTAGTCCGATCGCTCTATCGCGTCGACGGGCATTGATATATATATATATATATATATATATATATACATATATCTAATTATAGATGTTGGTGGTTGTTTTCTTAATTGATTGATTTAGCAGGTTGGTGGGCATGAGAATTTATATTGGCCTTTTAAAGGCTAATTTGACTGACGACAGCCAACGCAAATGTAGTTTTAATGTTCAACAATAGCGCTGTCTGGTCTACCTCGAGATTACAGGTAGTAGTTGCTTATACCTCGCCACCATTTTTGGAGATGATACTCATAGTTGCTCGATTTGCCTCGATGTCCGTATCCCAGCAGACGACAATGCAGCCAAGAGCCGACAATTGTATCGCCAATTCTCGTCCAATTCCATGACCGGCACCTGTAATCTATCATTATTTTCATTCGTTTCTAGTGCCTCTCGGTCCTTTACGGTACGAGGTTAAATTGCATAAACATTGGCTTGATAGGATGGTGGTAATGGATGGATGGATGGGTAGTATGAGCGAGCATTATCATCATAATGATCGATCTAACGATTATTTGCGTAGTCGGTAATTTAGCACTGTGACTAGAAGCTGAATAAAGTGTGAAAAATCCGTGATGAAGCCGGATGAAGCCGCACGAGTCACGAGACGCACGGAATAGGTTATAAGCTCACTAGTACGGTCTCGCCGAATAGGCTTTTCTTCCAGGGTGGCACGACCAGTCTAATTGACGCTGTCAGCATCGCCATCGTGCACCTCATCAACAAGAGGAAGAGGCTGCAGGCGTTGCTCGGGATGCGTAACAGTGTCCCGAGGAAATTACAGCAGCGCCGACGCTGCCTGTGGTTGGTCGACGAGAGTGTCATGGCCTGGGGAGTCGAGACCGTCATCACCGCAAAGATCACAAGAGCGTGACAACTGACTACTCGAATTACGTTCGTCGAGAGATACATTGCGCTCCTATTACATAGACTTGTTGTCGTTTAATTCTTGTTAGCGAGCGAGCCGATGATTGCGAGGCGAATGGAACATACGACGATCGTCAATTCAAGATGGTTACTTTGATGGGGAACGGCAGCGCCGAATTGATAAATTAAGCGCACCTATTGAGATTGAAGCCAGGGAGGATTATCGAATATGGTTTCGATAATAATCGACATTGCGATTTTATCATGGATTTATTTAATTAAGCATTAATTTATTATTGAAATGTTGAAATTATGGTAAATATCGTATCCATTGGCTTGATGTTGAATTTTTTTTAAATAATTGATTCGATAATGGGAGAATTAAGAGGCAATTTTAAGAAAAATTTTATTAAATGTATAATGTGTAATTAGTGTGTAAAAGAAGTGTGTAAAGTATGAAGAAGAAGCCATTAAATTATTTAAAGCATAATGAGCTTCGACACGAAAGCATTGAAAATTTATTTTTAACTAAAAAGCATCGTTTTACAGAAATAAATATCATCTGTATTTCATACGACTTATCGATATTTATTGAAAGAATAAATAACCACATTGGTATTATTACATTATTTTCTTAAATAATAAGGCAAATAATTATTTCTAAATTACCTCCTACACTTATATTATTCATTTAATTATCCTATATTTATCCTAATACTATTTATTTCATTTATTATATATTTATCTTTTTAACTGTTAGATGGCTTTGGTCCTTTGCATTTCACTCGTGAAGCCTTTACGAGTACATTCTAGCTTGTGAGCTATATGGATGAGAAACGTGGATCTTTTTAATGATTTAATGGAGATTTTTAAACTACGTAAATATTTCGATGACTTGGAGCCAAATTAAATAATTTTTAATCTTCTTAGCCACTTGGCAATAATCAAATTTGTATTGATAAAAAAAATTTATTCAATTTATTCAAATCACCTTATAATTTAAATTTGTATTGCATGTGCTCTGTGTTGAAATTATAGTCTCTATTTTTAATAATTGTCGCAAAAATAAAAATCTTGATATAACTAAATTGAATGACTAAGTGAAATTTAAACAGCACATTAATTTACTAATTTGCAAAATTAAATCGATTAAATCTGTATTATTTCAACCGTATAAATAATGATCTACTTTAGGTTCAAAATTTAATCAGAAATAAATTTACCGTATGTATATACAGTGTTAAGTATTTTTTATCAATATGCTTTTGAAAATAGTTATTATTTTACGTATACATATTGTAACAATACAATCGTTGTACAAGCGTACAAGCAATTATTATTATAGAATTGTGCAGTGACGCGTGTACTTATTACAATATCAATTGCAGTTGAAACTATATTGGACTGCAAGTTGTTATTATTATTGAACTATAGTGCCTACTGTAGTCGAAACTATATCGCGGCACATAATGTATTGCAGTCATGGTCGTAAATTAAAAATGACTAAGCCATTTAAACGCACATCCTCGTATCAAACTTCAGATTATGAATTTTTTCATTTTAGTGAAAAAAAAAAAAAAAAAAAAAAAAAAAAAAGTTGAAAAAGATATAAAGTAGCTAAAAGAATAATAATGACTGTAAATTAATAAAGTTCAAGAGTATAAAATAGTGAAAGAATATTTATTACACGTACAATATAAAATTGTGGAGCGCAAGATTAGGTTGATAGGGAAAATCATTGCGTGAATTTTCAAATCTTGCATATGCTGGGATCGTTCACGAAAACCAGGACATTAAGATCTGCGGTGTGATTACTTTTTTTTACTAATTTTTTCAGCCTCCTTATAAATTAAGCTCTCGAGGCTTAAGAAAGTTGCGCAAGCGTAGGTCGATAAATGTATCCCTACTCTTCTCAGTAGACTAATTACTTTTAATCAAGTTTGTTAATTATAGATATAACTTTAAAATTGTACTATATACTCGAACTTTCTCCGTCGCAGTATTATTTAACTTGATGTGTCAATCTCAAGGGATGCGCCGCCCACTTTACATGCTTCACTAATAAAATATTACACTTGCGTAAAAGTCATATATTGTACGGCATTAAGTACGTACATGATTTTCCAATGAAATTTCTGAGTTTTTAGTAATGGCCAAATGGACTTGACATAAAAAAGGTCTACATTATTAACGAGGACTAACCGTTAACTTGACGAATCAATACATCCGGACTCACTGTATGCTTATTTATTGTATATACATTATCTAAATATATATTGAATATATAGAAAGCAAGAGAGCAGAGAACTTTTACGTTAATGGAGAAATATGCTACATTCATGGTATGCATAAAGCTAATTTCTTTTAGCATCACTTAAGCGTCTCATAATAAAACAATATCAATCAATAAGCCCGATCGAATTTTATTGGAGTTATAATATTTTTCCGTTCGTATAGTTTTATAATAAAAAAAGTAAAAAAAAATATATATTTAAGTGGATGTTGTATAAATATTAGATTATTGACATTATAAGTATTGAAAAAATTTTTAAAAATTAACAAAATATGGTCAGTAATGTCAGACTGTAATATCACTAATATTTGTTGTAATTTAAAAAAGCCAATGAAAAGTGACTATCAAAGTGGTATAATTTGAAGAAAGCTTTTAAATCACTCGTAAATAATTATATTAAAAGCAAATGTCTTCGGTTTACACGACACTATTTACCAAAATTGCTAAATCGGACGCTACAAAAAGCTTTTTACCCATCCTTAACGATAATTGACTTAAGCGCCCGCTGACACACCGCCTAAGTTCAATAAAAAGCAATACTCTCGACTAAAAGGTTTAAATTCGTTATCGTATAACGATAATAATAATACTTTCTCTTATTAATGATCGTTTTCCTATTCTTATTAAAGTCCTTTTGTATTTCTTTATTTCGGTACCTTTAGAAGCCTAAGCGTTAAGCTTGTAGAGTACCGTCGGTTTTATCTCACAGGTTTCTAAAATTCTTCACTTTCTGTTTGTTTTGACTGTCGAGGACTACGGTGTGCATAAGCATCTGTTAAACTGAAAATTCACGTAACTTGAAAATTTTACACAATATCTATAATGTTCTTCCCGCTTCTTGTATTTTTCTGCAAAAGCGCAAGAAGAACGGCCAAGGACGCAAGAAGAACGCAAATGGCTATTAAAATATTTATAACAAAAGTTCAGCAACGGCTAAAGAGTATACGAATGCTTATAACAATGTTTTATCAATTATTAAGGAATAAATTATATATTTGTATTCTTGCTCAAATGAAAATTGAAGAGCTTGTAAAGTAGTGTTGGTAGATATGAGATAAATGTAGTGTTATTAATGCAAAAAATTCATAAGAATATTAAACTATAAATATTGTAAATATTAATATCGTATAAATAAATAAATGTACCATTTTATTTTTAATAAATCTGACGAAATATGATTTATCATGTTTATAGATAATAGAAATGTATAGACACTTGATGACATCGATCTTATGAATTATGAATGCATTCGGGCGTTTGGCAGTAGTATCGAAGCCAACTAATAATTCCTATGTTCTTCAAATCTCCTATAATTATGCAACATTTTCCCTTCTATAATCAATAATAATAATAATAATAGTAATAGTAATAATAATAATAATAATAATAATAATAATAATACATATTGAATTACTCATCTACGTAAATGAAATACACAATTTCATTTTAAAATGCGTAATTAATTGTTCTACTGTTGAATTAGATTATTGAACGGATATTTGCTTTTTATTTTGTATACTATAAAATTTAAAAGAAATTCACTGTAAAATAATTATTGTCGCTTGTGACTATGAAATCTGACACTAATTACGAAAATAATTGCATTATACAGCGGGCGCTTTTATAAAAATTAATTGCATTAATTTGAAATGAACATAGAAAGTGCTCAATTTTATGTACACACTTTTATTTACACACATTTATTTTTTTGTAAAGTAAATTTTTGGAAAAGAGAAAAAAAGAAAATTATAATAAACCTTGATATATCATACTCGATAGTTCTTGTAAAATTAAAATCCGAAAATAAAATTTGTAATAATTTTTGTTATATTCATACTTAAACTTAAATACTGTGATATTTTCCTATATGAATTTATGCTTCTCTTTATTTTTAAATTAACATTAATTTATTTTAAATTGTTATAAGCTCTAATTCGCATGTGTTTATGATTTTCTGTATAATAGAGTATATTTAATTATTTGAGCTATTCGAGCTTCTCTGTGTCGTAACAGTTTTGCATAATAATAGATGGATCAAATGAAAGCTTTTATGAAGCAAAATAAAAATAAATAAATAAATAAAATAAAATAAAATAAAAAAATGATACTATAATTATATGTTATAATAAGATTTACAAATACATTAATGTTGAATTTGTATAGGCAATACTTTATTGCGATTTACTACCTTTCGAAATAATTTGAGATGAGGATATGGAAAAAATAATATCAGCAACGACATTCTGTCTCATTAAAATTATATAATCTCTCTCTCTCTCTCTCTCTCTCTCTCTCTCTCTCTCTCTTTCTCTCTATCTATCTATCTTGTGACACTTTTCCACGAATACAGTATCCTAGTTTGATAATGTTATCAATAAGTTGGCATATTTCTTTATTCAATGCTTAGTTTGATTAGAATAGCAAGTCTGCGCTTTAAAATGTACGTAATCAGCGCCAACTCATTTATAAATCTCTATAATACTGTTAACCATTAATATTATAACTACTTTGGTTTCCTAGAAATAAAAGAAACTTAAGTGACTGATTGGAAGAAATATGGCGTAGAGTATTATGTTGAATGTCGTGGTACACATGATAAAAGAAAATGTTTACAAGGACACCTACACCATTGAGTATAGTGTATATTGTATTTATATGCCCTGTAAAGCTTGCTCATAACATATTTAATTTCACATAAAGGATATCGTAAATTATAAACTTTATGTCAAGAACTTATTACGGATTCGATCGGTTTTAATCGGATGTATATATAAATTTTTAATT